GGTCCAAAGGCCTTGCTGGGCTGCATCCGGCCCCTGGGCCTTAGGTTGGCTACCCCTGAATTAAGCTGTGCAAGTGGGTCTCTTTGGGAGGCGAGCAAGTGAAAGGGTTTCCTCCAGTTGCTGCAGGCAAAACTGCTCAATGCTTCTGGTGAAATCAGGGCATCATTTGCAAAGGAATCTTGCAGTACCTTTGAGATGCCTGAAAGAGAGAAGTTGGTAGCATGAGCTTTGATAGATTTGAGCCTACGAAGAAGTCTTGAGCCTACGAAGCCTAAGAAGTAGGCTCAAGTCTACCAAAGCTCATGCTACCAACTTCTCTCTTTCAGTTAGTCTCAAAGGTGCTGCAAGATCCCTTTGCAGACCAATTTTCTAGACTAACAGGGTTATGTCTTTTGAATTCTACCATCAGGGATATAACAACAACAGTTAACAATGACAACAACAATAACAACAACAACAGGGATTCATACAGTCCTACAGATCTTGTTGCACTCTAACTCCCATCATTCCTTACCATTGGCCATGCAAGCAGGGGCTGGGAGGAGTTGGAGTCCAACCTATAAAGCCTTTTATGGCTCACTCCCAGGCTATTTGGCGGACTATATCTCCTTGTATGAGCTGTCCCGAATTCATCAGGAGAGACCCTTCTTCAACTTTTTAATGTATTGTTATGTATTGTTTTAATTGAACGTTATCTTTTTAATTGCATCTTATTCTTTTCACTTGAGGTGTGAACTGCTTTACTACTGCAACTAGTTTTAATTCTATTTCGACGTTCACTTTGTGTATGTTTTTAATTGTATTGTTCTTTGAAATTGTGAGCCGCTTTGAGTCCCGATTCTGGAAGATAACGTGGGATACAAATATAAGAACAACATCCGAAGGACAAGATTGTAGAGTGATTAGTTTGTAAATGTGCAACCGGGCAATACCTTTATTAGGGCCAAGCCAAAATAACTGAGATCCTGTTGGCGCATACTTTCTTCCTCCGTTTCTCCTCTTGCCTCTGTTTTTCAGATTTGCTCAGCCCCATGTGCTGATCCCAGCTTTGGCAAAATAAAACAAATGCCAGATGACAGCAGTATCAAGTTGGCTTAAGGCGTTAATACATGCTGCTACATGTCCCGTGGGACAAAATACTTACATCTACACCTCAGCATCCCAAATCTGTCTACAAGCCACTTAAAAAGAAGACTTTTGTGCTTGTGGATGGGTTCTTTCCTACTGATTTTCAGTGGCTCTCAGGTGGCTCTGGTCCAAAACCTTGCACTGTGTTTGGTTTGTGGATTAAGCCTGAATGAAATCCATTTGGCATGTTCTGAGTTGCCAACGTGCTTCAGCCACAGCTGTTCCAAAAGCCTTTTCAAGCCCTGAACAGGAGACAGCTTCCTTCTATTGCCTCCCCCCTCCACCCCCTTTCCCTCCTAGTAAGCTCTTTAATTTCTTAGAAAGAGGCCCAGTGCCTGGCAATTTACTGGAGCAGATGGCATCCTATGCTTTGCATCCCCCCCTCCTGCTTTTTCCTTCCCAGATGCAATTACGTTTGCTGGAGGCTCTTGGCCACCAAAGCAATTATTGCTCCAGTCGGTGCAGATGCCTGGTTTGCACAAACAGCCAAGGAGAACGTCAACTGTTCCAGGGCTGTACTGCTTCACAGTGTAGTGGTGTGTGTGTGTGTGTGTTGTGGGCTTAAATTCTTCAACAATGAGAGAAAAACACTCTACAGAACATAAAATATTAGGGTGGAGGCTAAGTGAGAGCCAGGCAGCTTTCAGGAATGTATTGTTGTTGTTTGGCCAGAATCCTCTCCCATGGTATATATATTATGTAACTTTATATATATTTAGCTGTACTGGTTTGAGCATTGGACTAGGTCACTGGGAGACCAAGGTTCAAATCCCAGATCCACTATGTAAATCCACTGGGTGACCTTGGGCAAGTCATACACTCTCAGCCCCAGGGGAAGGCAAAGGCAAGCTTCCTCTGAAGAAACATGCCAAGATAGGTACACCTTAGGGTCATCATAAATTGGAAGTGACCTGTAGGAACACAACAACAATGCTAGGTAATGGAAGCATTAAGAAAGCCTGTTAGTGGATTGCAAATATTCAAAACACTGGCAAGAGTTTCCTGATGTGCATTGAGTTCCAGTGATGTGCATTGGCACTCCCAAGCCAGAGTCTTGATGCACAACGGGACCAATACACATCAGGGCTGTTGGGCATCAATATCTTGGTCACTTTGCTGGCTCCCTTTATGGACCCTTGATAACCCAACAATCAGAAATCATTGAATTTGTTGGGATGGGTCCCAAGTTGTTTTTGTTGTTGTTATTAACTGCCCTCGAGTTAGTTCTGACTCATGGCAACCCTGTGGATGAGACGTATCCAAGAGTCCCTATCTTCCACTGCATTCTTGCCCAGATCCTGCAAGCCCTTCCCCATAATAAGCCCCCTGATTGAGTCTATCCATCTGCTTTGTGGTCTTCCTCTCTTTCTTCTCCCCTCTACCTTTCCTAGCATTAGTGTTTTTCCTAGTGATCCATGCCTTCTCATTATGTGGCCAAATTACGATAGTCTCAACTGGACCATCTTTGAT